CCCCTTCCTCTCCCTCCTCTCCCTCCCTCTCCTGCCCCTCTTCCCCGTCTTCCCTCTCCCCTCCCCCTCCTCTCTCTTCCTTCTCCATCTTATCCTCCTCTGTGCTCTCTCCTCGTATTCCCCCTCCTCCTCTTCTTCCCCCTCCCTTACCCCCCTTCCTTCATCTTCTCTCCCTCATGCGCTCTCTCCTCCTCTTCCTCTTTTTTCTTTTCTTCCTCCCCTCCTCCTTCCCCCTTCTTCTCCCCAGACCGCACAGACGATCCTGGTGGTGGTCGTGGTCTTCGGGGTGTCCTGGCTGCCGCACCACGTGGTCCACCTCTGGGCCGAGTTCGGCTCCTTCCCGCTGACGCCCGCATCCTTCCTGCTCAGGATCGCCGCGCACTGCCTGGCCTACAGCAATTCCTCTGTGAACCCCATCATATACGCGTTTCTCTCGGAAAATTTCAGGAAGGCCTACAAGCAAGTGTTCAAGTGTCACATTCGCCAAGAACTGTCTCTCAATGATAACAGGGAGAATAAGAGCCGCGTTGATACGCCGCCGTCCACCAACTGTACGCACGTGTGAACGCCACTGTTCCTCTCGTCCCTGAGTTCCCACGCAGGTGCAGAGGACGCACCCAAGAAACAGCGTGGCGAGCGCCCTGCAGCTCAACGGTCCACATTATTTCAATTTCTCTTCTGTTTAAAAGTGCTCTCATTCGTTTAGGAAATTCCTAGATTTAGTGAAGATTATTTTGAATTTTATTTCATTGCTTAATTATATTCAGAAACAAAAATACTGTATAGTTTTATATCTCTTAAAAGATGAAAATTCAATAGAAGTCTATAGATAGGTTCAGTTCTCTGTAGATGAAACACACATGGTCAGGAATATTTGCAAATCTACATTTTAAAGCAAATCTATTTAGAAAAAAAGTATGTTTTAATTCTCCAATTTTAAGAGAAGAAGTACCATTATAAACTTTGTGTTTTAAAATATGACTGTGGACACACAATGAGAATCTTAACTTTTGGCCATTTATGTGGAGACACAGCTCTTCAGGGCAGAGGAAACTTCCTGCAGTCCGGGCAGCTGCCTCTGCTCTCGGCTGTGGGCTGCGCTGAGCTTCCCGTCGCTGCCTCTGTCTGTGGTCCTGAGATGCCGCGAGCTTATCCTAGGATCAGGCTCCGGGGACAGTGACCCCGGCTACAGCAGTAGGCACCCTCAGTTCACAGCTGTCCTGTGACGGTGGCCCTCGTACAGTCAACTGAACAAAGAAGAAGGAAGGGCCGAGAGCCACTACCCTGATAGAGGCAGCCAAAAACGAATTTTTGAAAATAAAACTAGGTACTGAAATTTTATATATGTACCTGACAGAGGTATTAGATATACCTTGAAAGGAACCTGCACAAAAGGGAGAGTTTATAAAAGGGACAGTGAGGGTGCCCTGTGGATAATAATTTCTCAGGGGCCAAAGACCAGACAGAACTCAGTAAGCCACGTGGAGATGTCGTGGGTGTGAGTAAAACGTATAATAGCTTGACTTTGATAGCACATGTGAACGTGTGAAGGTAACAAATGTGGGCGTGGACACACCCACAAGTATCTTATCTTGAACAAATGCATGCTTTTTCATTTGCGATTTTTAAAATTTGTGATTCAATATTTAATGCACGTTTCTCCCCAGTATTGTTCACCCTGGAAATGTTAATTTGGGGTTAGAACCATTACCACTTGAGCGTCAATTATAGTTTTTATGGTTTGTGTTCCTATTGATTTGTGTTTACAATGAGAAGTGGCATGAAAAAATTAAATTACCCCAGATTAGGAAAGTAATTTTCATACCGCAAGCCTTTGATATATATTTTTTTTTAGGACGTGAAAGCGAGATGATTTCTTTAAAAAGGGTTTTGTGAAGCACACAGCTGTGCCTACTTGGCACCACAGAAATATAAAATTTTAGGTAAAATAACAAACTCAGTGTAGCCTTTGTGATGTTGACTTTTCTAGTTCATCAATTTATTTTTGCTAATTATGTTTCAGTAAACAGTGTTTACATTTGCAATGATATAAATAACTCTCTGGGTAGAGTAGAAGAAAACCATTGGGAGGGATGGGAACATTCAGGGCCTTTTATATTTGTTGGTGAGAAAGAAACTGTGTGTATGTGTGAGTATTTTAAAGAACATTCTAAGTCCTTGGCACGAAAAAAACTTCTTGCACTTTATTAAAATATAGGAGCAGAAATATTTTATCCTGGAAACTGATACCTCATGTGGTTTGTGGGGCTTGATGTTGCTTTTGTAAATGCCAGAACAAGGTCTGTGTGTGTGAATTCATACCACTGTGCAAAGCAGAGCCTCCGAGGAGCGTCTGAACTTGCAGGGATGAGAATGATTTCCTGCACCCTGTCCTCTCCTGACTCGCAAGCAGTAAATGGAAGTAGTGAAATAAACATGCTGACTGATGTTGGTCTTTCCTATGAGGCTTGTTGAAACTGCTTGGGCACAATGTGTTTGCCTATGTGTATTCCCTTGGTCCTGCCCAGACGCTGTGGGCACCGCACAAGCCAGAGACCCAGCACTAGAGTAATGACTGGTCCTTGCAACCTGCCCCCTGTCTTTGCTGAATGAAAATGCAAATCAGTACATTTTGTAGTAATCTGGACACGCTTTCCGCACATGGCCATTCTCATCAGTTTCTCTTAATCAGAATTTAGGTCAAGTCTTCTGAAACAAAATTTGGTATCAATAATAACTTACATCCTGCAAATATCTAAACTGACATAAAATTTTATCAAGTTTCCAGAAGAACTTGTAACAGATTTAAACTACCCAGAGCCACGTGGAGGATGCCTCCCACCTGCTCCCGTGTGGCTTTCCCCGTGTACAATTAACATGAGCATTTGGAAGCACCTTCGTTTCTGGCACTAATTACAGATGGCCTCCCAGGTAGTCACTGTCTCTCCAGCAGCCAGGCTCAGAGAGCAGTACTGCGTGTGCCTTTCACGTCAGACTGCCTGAGAACAATGTTTCAGTTTACTTCAAAGAAAATTGATGCTTTTTCTTTAGATTTGGCGATTTTAGTGTCCCAGTGCCTGCAGGCAGCTGTTATTTTCTGGGCTTTTTGCTTTCACATAAGGACCCAGGCTCTGCAATATTTAAGTAGCTGAAACACTTGCTGCTTCAATGCATAAGTGACTCCCGTCTTCCACAGCACACAGGGACAGGGCGGGAAGCACATTTCTTGTCCCACCCCTGGAGACGAGCTGAACAGATTCTTCCATGCGGTTCTCTGATGTTCGTGCTCAGCAGTGTGGGGAACTGAGGCCACATTCTGCATCCTTTAGGTAAATTAGTTTTGCTTTTAACAAAATTGCTTTATTTTACACATCGAGAGTAAAAGCACCATTTCCTTCTCCATCCCAAACTCTTGTGCTTCTTTTTACCTGAAGTCGCTTCCATGAAGAATTTTTCACTTGACTGTTTACCATAGTTGAATTCCTCCTTCAGCGAGGCACAGTGAGGCAGAGTGGAGAGGATGCTGACTGCTGACTTGGGTGAGTCATGCAAGTCTCAGAGCTCCTGTGACTCAGCTTTAACTTGTGACATTGTAGGATTGCACTTGCTCAGCCCCCTCTGATGCTTTTAGGCAGTGCAGTGGTAATTCCAATAAGTTACTTGAAAGCCAACACCAGCCTGGTTCTGAGCAGGAGGGTGGGGCTCACCCAAGCAACCACTTCCTTTCCAAACATGGCCACGGATACCTGTGAGTACTGGCATGCTTGTGTTGATGTTACATTGAATAAAATAACTTGTTGTACAGTTCATCTTGTCTTTGTTTTAAACGATTTATGTTTGTAAAACTATATAAGCATGTGAATTGGGAAAAACCTATGAATGTGGCTGCTTCCTCTGGAAACTTACTATCTAAAAAGTGTAAATTTCGATCTACAAATATTTCCCATGTTTTAAATTTGTAAGTGGCTTTCTATTAAAGGCCATATTCTTCTTATCCATTAAACATGTCGCACATCAGGCTGTTTCTCAAGTAAGATGTTAATGACTTGTTTAATGACTTATTTTAAAAGATTATATATAATAAAAGTAGGTGGCCTAAAATTCTGATAGCTACTTGTTGGCTTAGGAAGAAAAACTTACCAAATTTTGTAATTATATCTGACTTTCATTTGACCATATTTAAATGTTTTCTCTTTTGGAAGTGGAAAAGTTGAGCCTGAGCAACACTTTAAATCCTTCAGACACCCTCAATGTGGGCTGTGTCTGCACAAGGCAGGCACATGGGGTGGGGGCACTGTGTCTGCACAAGGCAGGCACATCTGGGGAGAGCGGCGCTCTTTGTGAGGCTTCCATTAGGATGTGGCATGTGGGTCACTGTGATGCTCTAGTTGAAATGTTTTGTTCATTTACTTGTGAAAGTGCCACAGGCAGTGGCTTCTGTTCTTAGTTTCATGCACTCTCCACTTTCCATCTTTGGCTGCTGTCCTGGGATCCCGAGGTGGGCGTGGTGGTCGGCTTTGGTGAGCTCTGGGCACATGAGCAGCCCAGGCACCTGCTTCTCTGCTGTCCTGGGTGTGGCCCTGCACTGGCTCCTGGAGGATGCTCCCCTGAGTCCTCCAAAGTGCTGTCCCCGAGCCTCTGATGAGTCTTATATTAGGTCCACCTGCAGAAATAGTGGCAGTGGCCAGGGCAGTGAATGGTGAGCGCCCAGGCAAGGCTGAGGCTGTTACTTTGGAGACATTGTGGGAGTAACCTCAGCTGTATTTTCTCTGTCTGTATAATGTGGGTGTATGTTTGCCCTATTTAGGCAATTATACCAAGGGCCAATCTGATAACAGGTCCAGCTTTGCTTTTCTGTTTTTTCGGGGCCCCCATGTGCACCGCAGAGAAGCTAACTGCAGAGCTGAGTAGGGGGCTCCCTCACTAAATTTCTACAGTTCTGTGGACAAATTATTTAGAATATAAATTGTTCACATTTTTATTGTTTGCCTTGATCAGATTCACAAAATATCTATTCAACTCTTATATTACCCTAGCTACAAAGGGCTTGAAGGAATTTGGTAACTTGTAAGTATTTCAGAGATTATTATAATTTTTCTGTTAAAAGAATAAAACAATACTGCCTGGTGTCAGTGAATACCTGGACAGTCTTTTCACCCTCCAAAACACAGACGGTAAAAATAGTACTCAAAAGTGTTACATGTGAACTTCTGGATGCTTTATTTTAACTTAATGTTTACATGAAATATATGCATGTCTCTCTATGTGACAAGTGATTTTTAACTATGTTATTATCTCTAAGAGATAAATGTAACCTTCCTTGTTTAAAGTTTTTCAGTTAAATATCTCCTGGTAGCACAAGTAGTATAAGGAATAAAAATCCTCGGTATACGGTATTTTTTATTTTAATGATGTAATTGCTTAAACACTGACATGTAAATACCATTGAGAATGGATTTTCTTATGTTTGATGCTGTTATAATCATTCTCTAAAGAGATGGCTATAAAATTTATCTCACTTATCATGTGTAACTCTAGCCTGAGTCTCAGTAAAGTTATAAACAA